TGAATCCGCTCCAGTGGCCGGCTGGCCCTAGCCCGCGTTTTGTTGAACGGTTCTCGGCATTGCTTGGCTTGCACGCAGGCGTCGCAGAAATCAATTTTGGTTGTTTTTTTTTTCATTCATACCTTTCAGCATTCCTTTCCGGGCCATGGTCTTCAATCCGCGTTGGCCGATATGCCCCAGTAGACGATGCCACAGGTTTCCAATCGATACTTCGCAGTGATTCGCTTCAACTTCCTCCAACGACAGCTCAAGCTCGTACAGGCTGCCTTGAAGGTGTCCAGTGGCCAGTAACTTACCACTTTTCTTCAGAACTGCTACGTTTCCAGAGAACAAGACATCGATCCCAGCATTGGCCATCTTCCTGACGGATATCAGGTTTTCACGTAGTTCTGGAACGTAGAGCACATTCTTCAGATTGAAATGTACACCTTTGTTGCCGGTCACGTTGATTTCGCCAATCTGTTCAGCGAGCATAGCTTCTCCTTCGTTGGCGACCTTGATCTCCACGCGACTGGTCATCTTCTTCAGGGCAGCAAAAACGAACTTGTCGCCAACCAGGTGGTCACTGCACCCGGAATCAAGCTTGAAAAGGATTCGTTCAGGCCGCTTTTCCGCAGTGTTTGCATCGGCCATGAAACTGATGGCATCCTTCTTCGCTGAATTGGCTTCACGCTGGCGACAATCCTTTTTCATGTGGCCGCGACGCCCGCATTTGTGGCACTTACCGAGGAATTTCTGGGACTTCTTTTGGGATCTTGAGTCACCCGAGAACGCTGCCGACTTGTCTTCAACTGAATCGCCCTGCCGGTCGGATCGCTTCCTTTCTTCAGCCAATAGACGCTGCTTGACGAGGTCCAAATTCAGGTCTTCTTCCGCGACGTTCTCCAGGGCCGTGACTATGGGATCGAAAGAGTCTGGAAGCGTCAAGAAAAGCTGCGACACCGGATCACTTTCCGCCAGAGTTGCTCCGGCCGTCTTCAATTTTCTCACGAGCCCGTCAAATTCAAGTAGATGCGTCCGCATGCCCCCTTCCTTCATCCGCAAACGATTCAACTGCTTCCGTACTAACGTTTGGCTCGCGACAGACTTCTTCGCATAAGCCGCCTCCAGACTGACCCACATCTCCTTCGTGGTCGCGTTCTCTCGAACGATCTCGAGGCATTCGTCTGACAGGCAACCCACCAGCAACGCCTTGGAGATCCGGTCCGTTTCTTCAAACTTCTTCTTTGCAGCTTGTTCCGTTGGAGCCACCTCGGTCAGCACATCCGCGACGCCTTTGACTTCCAGGAATAGGCGCACTCGATAACTCCAGTTTTGGAAGTCAGCTCCGCTTCCACGCAGCAACGGGATGTTGCACGAAATGTCCTTCGCGGTGGTGCACATAACCTCTTGAAGGAACAAACGGGAGACTCCAAACGAAGTATATGTTTTGTCTGTACTACACGAAGTGCAATTGTGGAATGAACAGTTATTAATTTTCACAAACAGGTAACGGGTCGTTGCCAGTGAGGGCTTCCCAACAACGTAACCGGGGAAAGCGACAGCTGATTGCCTACTACGACAGCATGCTAAGATCTCAGTAAATCCGATTGCCGAGCAAAAATTGCCGAGGTTCGGTAAACAAAATTAAGTGTGTAGATTGTAGTTGAGATGTAGTTTGTCTAGTAATGTTTCTTTTTTACGAGATGACTATCTATGTACTTACTGATGTTTAGTTTTAGTACTTTTCATGTTTAGTTTAGGTTAAATCATTGGGGCCAATAACACCAGTTGATGTTTAGTCACAAGTAAATAAGTAAAAACCAACGATAAAGACTTTGCAACGACTACCACAACAAGCTCTCACTGCACAGCTCGATCGGAATGTTAGAAGGATAATGAAAAATATTGCTTGCCTGTTTTGTTGCAATATACTACATGGTTCAGGACATAGCTTTATCGGAATCGAGAAAAACATAACAAAAAATCCCATTAACAACACGTGTATTATCTTCGGCTTTACTTCGTAAAGTAGCTTGCCAACAATTTGTCCTTTTACCGACCCGAGCGAGCTGTGTTGCAGAAATTGTTTGTTGTGAAGAAAAAGGAAAGATATTGTTGATTCCTTGAGTGAGGACAGTTAAATTCCTGTATCCCTTCTGGAAGTGATTGAAATAAGCGGTGCCAAATTTGGCGCTAGGATCATGATTTGTCGTAGTGCTAAGCCGAAATAAAATACGATAATTTTCTAAAGCAGTTTTCTACCGAAATAAAGTTGTTACTGCTTGAACAAAACGTGAGCTTATAAAAAATAATTTAACGGAGCAAGCTTTGACATTCTATTTTTTTTTATGTATTTCTTGTGCTTTTGCTGGCAAAGCATCGAAAGTTGCTGGTGGCTATTTTTACCATAACAATCCCACTTTTTGATGCATCATTGATGACACCTTCTGAGACTGACTGTAAGTTGCGTCTTTAATTCAAATCATTCTTTGTGAAGGCGCTTTTTAAACAGCTGTTTAATTAACATTGATCAAAAATGTTATACTGCAACAGGAACAGAACTAAAAAAAAAACTTAGGAAAAAAAATCAGATGAAATTTACAAGAAAACTGTTTGGTCGGGCAGGTGGTGGTTTCAAGCTGAACATTGCATTAGGTCCTAAGCAACATTGACAGATTCTCTTTGTCGACTTCTAGACATTTTTTTACAATTTTAGGACAGGATTTTTTAAGATCTAGGATATATATAAAGCGATGCATTTAGCAACACAAAGAACTGCAGTCTAAAATTAAATGTATATAGATCTAAGTTAGTCATGAGTATATGAATAAAAGATCCTTCTCTTCTTTGTAGTCGCTATAACGAACTGGTCGTCTTTTTACTTTGCTCCATTCTGCCCAAGAATAGAATCTTCTGTAACATCTGAAACATAGAAAAAGAATCATAACTCTGGGATCTTAACAACTTTTCTAGATCGTAGATTATCAAAAAAAAATCATCATTTGGCACAAGGAAAACTTTTCCAGATGGAACGATCACGGACATAAAACAAATTTGAATGCGTCTAGGATTTCAAATCTCAATCGAATAAAATTAGAGATTTAGGAATACATTTTAGGGTTTTCAATTTGAAATTTTTGTTTTTGTATAACCAGAACATTAATATGAACAAAATACAATACAATTTAATGGGCTTTAAAAGGAACTCAAGAATCTGTGACATGATTTTTTGGACAAAAACTAAAGCTACCGGGGGTCAAAGATTTTTCAAATTTCTGGCTTTTGAACAAATGTCGAGAGCTTGAAAATTTTCCTAGACCATTTTTCGACATAATGCAATGAACCAACGGGAAAGGTACTTTTTACCTAAAATTCAGGCATCACCAGCCTGCTGAAACTCCTCAAAGACACTGGAGGTTTTATAACACTCTTGTCCTGCGAGCTTAGCCAGCTCGAGTGAGTGGCAGCAGGAATATGGAAGAAGTAAACAAAAACTTCTCGAGAGAGAGGGAGAGTGAACTTCAGCGAGTGGATGATTTGACGTGAAGTGCGCTTTTCGAGACTCCGGATGACTTTTTTGCTCGACGCAAGAAGCTCAGAGTTCACCCAGAGTGAAAGTAAGAGCGTGTGATAGAAAACATGAACATGAATGGCAGCAAACCTCACTCTCATTTTATCCCCCTTCGCTCACAAGCTCTGAAGCTCATTGGAATGATTTGGCAGTAGGCATTCTACTCCTCATAAAAATGCTACGCTCGGCTCATTTCAAACTCGCGAGTGAGGCTCCAGCAAGCCTGAATTCAGGTAACTTCTTCAAAATTGGAATTCAATAAGGTTCACGTGCCGTACATACAATGCAATGACATGGTAATGGATTCCACTGGATTTACTGGACCAGTCCACATGTCATGCTGGTGAAGGTTATGTGAAATTTAAGAAAGTTTTTCGTGATATCATGGTATTTGTCGTACTCGTAGTTCAAAAATTGCGATAGAAGAAAGTGCGCTTTCGTCGTTGTTGGACGAGTTGGAATTACCAGGCTTCTTGATGTTTTCAAGCGTTAGTTTTATAATTTTTTTTTTTAAATAACACTATTTTATAAATTAAAAATGAAATTACAGAAAACGGGAATGGATTTTTCGAGGAGCTAACAATCAACAACTGACGAACTATAAGGGTGCTACTAAACGGTTAACTTTAACTTCGAGATCATCAGTGCGCCAATTATTAAATAATGTTAATTTGTGTTTTCCCTAGAATGCAACATATATAGTCTATCACCAATTGGGTTCTTTAATTTTGAAAAATATATCGGTTTTTATATATCATCTGAAGGAGCTTCGTTTTCTGAGCAGAGCGATATTTTTTTCGATCCCACACTTCATCTCGACTTTTAAATCAAGATTTAGAGCAAAATAATAACTTCATTGTTTGACACTAAAATGACAAACTGACAGCTCACTCCCATACAAAGCGACACCGAGGGGCGCTAATAAGGTGATTTTTGCAAATGTTATCGTACTTATTTAAGATAGTTCCAGTGTACCAAAATTGATGAAATATTGGGTTTGGGTTCCATTTTTAATGCAGATTACGAATATGCATTTACCTCAATACCCTTAAAGAACCCAATTCACTTTATCGTTACTACAAAATCAAGTACCGTAACTTTTGAAGATTATCGGAAAGTCCGATAAAATTTATGGGAAAATCAATTGATTTCTATGTGAACCACTCAAATGTAATCTCTCCCCTCAAAACACGTATTATTCACCTGAAAAGTGTGGTGGAAAGTAGATACGTGCCATTTCAAGTGAATTTTACGTAATTTTTTTTTATCAGTGTAGGCTTGGACAACTTTCAAGAGCTCAATGTAAAATATCCAGAATATTGGGTCTAGAACTTTTTTTTGAAAATTTATGATAGGTCTATGATAATCTCAAGATAAAAAATACAAAATATTAGATTATGTCAATTATTATTGTGCAAAACTAAATGAAACGTGGCTACTCTTTGCTCGTTTCACCCTTTATTCAGGTTGACAAAATGTATTCACAATAAATGCAAAAGAATAAATCATTTCTTTACCAGATTGATCCCATTCCAAAAGCACGACAGCAAAAAAAAAAATGTTTCAAGCTTTATGTTCCAAACGTGACGCCGCAAGTTGGCTACAAACAGGATGAAACCGAATCAGCCGTGCATCCTGCTCCTATCATACGTATAACTTATAATAACCGTACATAATCCGATGATGTGTTGACGTCCCGAAAGTCGCGAAACCACGTCCGTGACCACACGCAGCAATTGCAACTTTTGTATAAAACCATCCCCCCTCCCCCAATCCAAGTGTCGGATGATTTGTTGCACTCACTGATGATGATGGGTTGGGTGGCGGAGCTTATCTCCGCATGGACATGTTGTGGATGTTGGCGAAGGGTGCCTTTTCGCTATTGCGGAAAAACCGTCGCAACGTGAGGCGCCAGAAGGCCGCCCGGAAGTCGACGCTGTAGAATGCGTAGATGAACGGATTGATGGCACTGTTGATCCAGCCAAGCCAGGTGAAAAATTCGCCCAGCTTCGGGGCGGCCAGGTCCTTCGGCAGGAACGGCGTCAGGATGTAGTGGATGAAGAAGGGCAGCCAGCACGCGATGAAGCCGCCGACCACGATGCTGAGCGTTTGGGTCGTTTTGTTCTCGCGCTTCATCGACAGGATCCGCGACGAAAGGGACTTCTGATGGATCCGCATATTACGTCCGGCCGCCGTCGATGCCGAGGCCGTAGTGGTCGACGTCATAATTGAGTTACTAATGGTATTGGTACGCCTCAAACCACCCGATTGATTTGCCGTTTGCGGTTTTTGCTGTTGATTGAAAACGTTATTGGCCGACGACCAGAGCTCCGTCGTCGAAGCCAGCTTGTAGTGTATGGTGGAGTTGCGCTTTGCGCCCGGTGATTGTACCTGCTGGCTACCCTGGGACATTCGTTCTTCGTCGGCACCATTCCGGCACCCACCTCCACCACCACTGCCGCCTCCGCCGCCGCCGCCGCCATTGCCGACGATTGATGTTGTGGTTTTGGACATGGAATTGATGTCGACAAGCTCATAATGGCCATTCTTGTGATTCTTTCTGGTGCCGACTATCTTCGAGCAGTCACTGTCCCCACTGAGGCCGGTAAAGCTGGACGAGCCTCCGCCGCCCAGTTGGGTCACATAGGTTGTGGTTGCCGTCGACAGCTGCGATGAGGACCGCTTTCGCTTGGGGCTCAGCTGGGCCGGGTCAATCTCCGAAGCATAATGGTAGCACGCCTCGTCAGCATCACGGGTCCGGTGACTTTTCTGTGCAGGTAAATGGGGAGGGAAGAAAAAGAGAAGAATATTTGCATTGAATCATTTGCTCGCTCATGGGTGGAATTGAAGAGTGAATGTGTGTATGTAACAGTGCGCTTTTGTTGTGGCAATTTGGGTGGAAATTGGAAAAGCTTTTATCCCCCATGATGGGATGAAGTGATTCGAGGGTGTTGCGTGAGGATGGGTGGTGACGATAAACACTTGTAGACAGAACCAAGATGAGCGACATATTTGCGAGCTTACGCCACTCGACGACGATGGCACGGAATGAAAGAAGCTGTATTAACACATTTCGACTGTTTGGTTTCCGGGAACAATTTGGGATACATTAGCCTGTCAGAAGCCATATTCATGATAATAAGAATCAAAATTGAAGCACTCGCGCGACAGAATGTACATAAGAAGTAAAACATCCGAACAAGGTATGACACGTTTCTTTCCGAAGCAGTGGAAAAATAATTGCCGTCTTGTCTTTTGCTTATGCCGACTGGGAGATAAAGAATTCAACGGTATGTGAACGATGAATGGAAATCAAACTGTTATGTACTTTTGACGTACAGTCAAGATTCCTTTAGTACGGGATCGTACAATTTTTTTTTTTGTAAAAGTACGTATATTTGTCGTTTGTTTGTTTAGTGAAAATTATTCACAGAATTATTTAAACCTCGACTTCAAAATTAAATTTCAGTTCATCTATATCGATCCGCCCATTACAGCTATCAATGAAGGTGATATAAGTTAACAAAGCTTTCATTATCAATGTTCTATTATTCGCTGCTACCCCCTACAGTGAGGGCCGGAGAAGATCATCGAAGTGAAGAGATCGTCGCCTGCCAGTCACAACCAGCAGCCTTTGTTGTAGCAAGTCGTAAGCAGTCCGTAGACTGGGGCAGCCGAAGAATTTGTGTTGTATTGTTTGAATACACGTAGTGCAGTGAAAGCAATTTTCTCCATCCGCTCTTCTCATGGTAAACATCAGTTGCCGATTTGAGAATTTTTGATTCGTCCACATGTAGGGAGAGCTGCGCTGTGAAGGCAATAAATCACGAGCAGCTATATTCTTCCACACGCGGGGCCAGTTGATTGCTGGATTTGCTGTTTCGACTTTCGGTCTGGATGTACGTTCGGGGTGTTGTCGGATTTGGAAGGGGAAGTTTGGAAAATTGTTTAGGATTATGTTCAGGCAGGAAGAGTCTGTAGGGAGGGGGTGGGGGGGGGGGGGTAGTTTACTTGGTTTTGGTTGAGAAAAGAACTATAATAAGGAAGGGAGATCATTTCCTGCAAGTGCCGATTAATGAGCAATGCCTTACACTTGAACGCTGGTAGTTTTAATTTGAGACCGCTATTATGCCTTTTTACAAGTATACAGGCTCGCGGCATAATCAAGGAATGGATGCGGTGTCCTCATCTGTTTATCCCAGAGGGCAGAAGAGGTCGCAGAACCTTGGGAATTTCTTTTCCTTTTAGCGGTGTCCAAACCTGTGTATCCCAAGTTTGGCAGGAGAGAATCGCAATCCACTGCTTGGGTTTATATACGGAGTTATTGTCATAATACACTTTACAATTTGTTGCATTGGTATGGTGTGATTTATATTTAATTACTGTATGCAAAGTGAGATGCCTATAACCAGGCATGGAAAATCATTTGCATTCATTTCATACATTCATTTACATTCATTTGCCTCTAACTTTTTTCATCAACAACATTCCGCAAAATTATGTACGGAGCTTTTGTAGGTTTTGTTATTAGCTCATAATTTAAATATGTACCTCTTATGCATCACGAACTAAAGCGGGCAGAACTTGCTACTGTTTTTCAGTGAATGTAAAATACATTCACTGAAAAACAGTAGTGGCTTCTGTTCACTCTGGTTCGTCATGCATAAGAGATACAGATTCAAATTATGAGCAAAAGTTGTAGCTTATAACAAAACCTACTAAAGCTTCATATATCATTTTACGGAATGCTGTTGATGAAAAAAGTTAGAGGCAAATGAATGTAAATGAATGTATGAAATGAATGCAAATGATTTTCCATGCCTGCCTATAACGGTGTGACAATTCTTTGTTTGTTTCATTGATGTCAATGTGCCTGCTAGGCTATTAGCGTATTTATTTATTTATTTATTTATTTGTTTAATTAATCATCTGACTCAGCGGCGCCAGTGGTGTAGTGGTAAGCGTGAATACCTCCCACCCCAGCAGGCCTGGGTTCAATCTCAGTCGGCGCCGTCGGGATGTTCTGAGGCATAACATCTGTGATCACGCCGAAGTAAAGCCGTTGGTCCCCGGTTCATGAGTTGATGGGTCGATAGGTAGGGCCTAGGTGTGGGAGCTGCCTCCCTGGCGTCGGTAGCATTGGTGCTCAGCACGGAAAACAAGATCGACGGAAAACAAATCAAGGAAAAATAACAATAATAATCATCTGACTGTTGTCTACATGAAATATCTTAAAAACTATACCATTCATGCGTTCAAAGCGTCAAAAAGCGAGCAGAAGGTTCCCCAAATTCAAACAATTCTTCAACAGCCGTGAACGTACGCATCATAGTTGTTAGTGGTTCGTTGTAACCGAATGCTGTTCGATGGTATCGTGGTTGGAGTAAGGTACCACTTCGTAATGATCTCGGCGGCACTCGGATATCTAACAGCGAAAGAAGACTCACGCAGTCAACATCCCCATTCAATAACTATGCAACAAATGCTGCCTGTTGATTCTTCCGTCGACGTTCCAGGGTTTCCAAACTCAGCAAATTGCAGCGATCAGAATACGGCGCAATGCCATTCTGATAAACTTTCGCTGAACACCTTCGATCCTCAAGTTCCAGGTCAACTGATGAGGAAACCAGACCTATGAGGCGTTTTCCAGGATAGGTCGAACAAGGGAGCAATAAAGAGCTTTCAAGCAGTGTGGGTCAGAGAAGTCTTTTGATATTTTCGACACGAATCCTAACTGACGGTTAGCCTTGGTGATCACACCAGTACAGTGGAGGTTAAACGATAATTTATTATCTAGTAGAACGCCAAGATCGCTGAGCTGGTCGGTTCTTTGCAGTATAACACCGTTGATGGCATAATTGAAAATAATCGGCTGCTTGATGCGGTAAAACGACATTACCATGCATTTTGGTATGCTCACGGTAAGCCAATTCCGATTGCACCAACTAACGAATAGATCCAATAGCGATTGAAGACGAATACAATCCTCAGTACATCGCACCACGAAATACAGCTTTAGGTCATCCGCATACGCAAGCCTGCTATCATCTCCAAGTACAAGCAATACGTCGTTGAAGAATAAAAGAAACAACAACGGGCCAAGATTGCTACCCTGTGGTACGCCCGAAGAGTTCGTAAAATACGAGGAAGTACTGGAATCAAGTTTAACTCACAAAGACCTGTAAGTCAGGTACGAGCAAAACCACGATGTCAACCGATTTGATGTGCCGAGTTTGGATAGCTTAGCCAACAGAATATCATGGTTGATCGTATCAAACGCTGCTTTTAGGTCCGTATAGATGACGTCTACTTGCGCCCCATTATCCAGTTGTTCGAAACACGTCGTGGTAAAATCCAGAAGATTTGAGACAACAAACTCCAATAGCACGGCAATACACTACAGGAGGAATGCCGTCTGGTCCAGGCGTGAAGGTGCTTTTAATTTTCTTCGCGGCATTAGTTACCATTAAGGGCGTTACTTCGAAGGTATCCACGCCTACAAGACTCGCAGGAACATCCGAAATAGCAGAGTCGACAGATTCTGTGACAAATGCTGACGAAAAATGAGCAGCAAAGAGTTCACATTTCTCGTCGCTTATCGATGTTTCAACATCACTGAGAAAAATGGTTGCGGGCATAGTAGCATTTTTCCTCTTCGAGTTTACGTACTTCCAAACGGGTTTCGTCTTAGGTTAGTTTGCACACGTAAAACGTACGATTTGTAGAGCGAAGAGTTAAGCTTACGGTACTCGTTACACGCCAAGTGAAAGCTACGTTTATTAGCCAGAGAACGAAATCGCCGTAATCTACGTTGCGAAGCATTTCGTTTGCGTTTTAGTTTTCGTAGCAATGCAGTGCTCCAGGCAGGAAAAACAGCAGGTCGACGAATCGGTACATTTGCATCCATCCAATCATTTAGCATAACGCACAACGTTTCACCCATTTCATCAGCATTCATTCCATCAAAAAGAATATCCCAGTCGATACTCGACAGGAAATCCAATAGAGCATCGAAATCAATCTTGTTGTAGTCTAACGCAATTCTATCACTGTCATTCTCATCATGCAGCTGTACACCATTGACAATTAGAGATGGTAAGCAGACAACAAGCACAAATCGAGAATGCGTCCCAAGTGGTTGCGCTCGAGATTCATCTGATGCAAATTAAGGAAATCCATGCCATCAATCAGTAGGGAGCTAGCAATTGGTAATGGCACAGAGTTCACAGGTCGACTTTCGCCGTCAGACCAGTTCCAAAACACTCCAGGTTTATTATAGTCACCGCAGGCCAGCATGCATTCGTTGTCAGAACCTCTGTTATGCAGCTCATGGATCGACTGAATATGCGCATCTAGTACAGTGCGATCGTTGCTTTTGTTCGGAGGGACATATATAGCGCACAGCAGTAGCCGCTTGGAACCAATCATCGTCGATACACACACTTGCTCTAATGTTTTTCCGCTGGTTGCAGCGATACTGCTGCTTATGAAACGATGATGCACCGCAATCTGAACTCCTCCAAAACGAGATTTGCTGCTATTCATATGGTTTCGGTCACACCGGTACACATTGTAGTTGCTTCCGAAAAGCTGCGTCGAACTGATAGCGTTGTTGAGCCCCGTCTCGATTAAAATAATGATGTCGAAATTGCAGTCCAGGGTGTTGCAGTAAAAGTCATCAATCTTGGTCCGCAGTCCTCGCACATTTTGATAGTAATCCCATAAACGGTTATCATCGCAGGTCGTGTTCTGCAACAAGGAAATATCAG